GCCATTTTAGTTGCTTTCTGTGCTTCTTTCCAAAGGGAATCCCCAAATTTGGTTATGACAAGCCCTGGTGAACTGTTCCTTCCTTCTATAGGCTAGAGAGGAGCTGGGACTCTGTGCCATATGGCCCACCGGGTATGGGTGGGATCTGAGAAGACACACTTAGGGTCAAAATGTGCTCTCATGTGTCTGAACAGGGGAAAAGAACAATTAGAAGTCCATAGAGCGACCACACACTGAAGGCTGACCTCACAGCCCTGTGAGGTGTCAGGCCCCAGGCTAAGCCTCCAGAGGCCTTCTGTGTCAAACTGGGATTGCCCACCAACAGGCTTCTCTGATTTCAGAAAGAAATGGTGTGGCCCAAAACAGAAGGGCTTGCAGTGCAAGTGTGGTTCTTTTGGCTCTTCTGAAAATTCTTGATGCTTTTCAAGCCTCTTTCTCCATGTGCAAAATGCTAAGAGTAAGAGTTCTTTTTCCAAAGGCAAATAGCAGAGAACTAATTTGCTTACCTCAGTGCAGGGGAACGCAGCCCATCTTAGCTGTGAAGCCCCAGGGGCTATGTGTCAGGCCGATGCCAAGGTCCTGTCCACCCGTCTTCTCCAGACCCCAGAATCCTGGCCGGCTTGTTTCCTTGTCCCATCTGCCACCATCTACTCTTCCACGTGGGTTCTTGCTCCCTCCACCCGTATGCATCTCCCAGAATCCTAGAGGAGCAGGCCACATGTCACTCAAATTGTACCCACCTTCGGGCTCCAAAACAAATTCTCTGTTTTGAGATTGAAGATTTTTAAGATTTTAAGGTGTTTTTTTGTTTTTACTAATAACTACACACAAACAGGAAAAGATTAATAGGAGGAAATGTAATGCATTTTTAATTTATTTTAGTGTTTATTAATTTTGAGAGAGAGAGAGAGAGAGAGAGAGAGAGCATGTGAGCAGGGGAGAGGGGCAGAGAGAGAGGGAGAAAGAATCCCACGCAGGCTCCACACTCAGTCTGGAGCACAACGCAAGGCTTGATCTCACAACCTGAGATCATGACCTGAGCTGAAATCAAGAGTTGGATGCTCACCTGATTGAGCCATCCGGGTGCCTCAAATGCATTATGAAAAGAACAATAGAGATGCCTGGGTGGCTCAGTCGGTTAAGCATCTGACTTTGGCTTAGTTCATGATCTCACAGTTCGTGGTTTGAGCCCCGCACTGGGCTCTGTGCTGACAGCTCAGAGCCTGGAGCCTGCTTCGGATTCTATGTCTCCCTCTCTCTCTCTGCCCCTCCTGCACTGGTGCTATGTCTCTCTGTCTCTCAAGAGTGAATAAATGTAAATAAATAAATAAATAAATAAATAAATAAATACCACAACATAAAGGGAATTATAGAACACTGGCTAGAAGTATTTAAGGCTATAAATGGATATAAGTCATTTGCATTTACCTCACTTACTGGATTTCTTCCACAATAAGTATAATATGATTGATTTAAGATTACTTACTAGGTGGAAATTACTTTCATACATTGCTGCATTTAATCCCTACTGTAACTATGTAAATTGCATATCATTTCATGGATATGGAAATAGAGGTTCAGAAAAGTTCAGAAACTCGCTCAACGTCAACCACCTAAGATATAGGACCTACCCCCACAGGATTATTGTCATGAATGAGTTAATATTTGTTAAGTGCTTAGGACAGTATCCAGCATTTAGTAAATGTTATACAATTATTAACTAATATTAATAGAAAACAACATGTCCAGGGTGCAAATTCAGATTGGTATGATTCCAAAGGCCACACAGTTTGAATATACTGCACTTCCTATGGATTAGTTCCAGCAGGGGCAGGAAAAGGTAGTAGTCCTAATACCTAATACTCCTTGAGTTTAGTTATGAATTCCTATTTTCCCTCAAAATTTTTTATTGTTCAGTCCCATACCCTTCTCTCTTACCAAAGGCTGGAGATCCTGTTTAGGTCCAAAAGTAACACCTACTATGCCATTCAGGGGACCTTCGCATAAATTGGACTCAATTAGAGCATTAGGAAAAATTGTGATAGAAATCCCAACATCATGCAGGAAAAATTCACCTTGGGTTGGTCTTCCCACGAAAGCAAAATCATCTCAAGGGAGTCTGGGTGGCTCAGTCCATTGAGCATCTGACTCTTGATTTTGGCTGAGTCCCAGAGTTGCGGGATAGAGCCCCGCATCAGGCTCCACACCGAGCATGGAGCCTGCTTAAGATTCTCCCTCTCTGTCACTCTCTCTCTCTCTCTCTCTGTCTACCCTTCTCCTCCACTTGCACTCTCTGTCTAATATAAATGTATGTAAGCCAATTTGACAATAAATTATATTAAAAATAATAAAAGAAAAGAAAATAAGTGAAATGAAAATTTTTTTTAAAAAGCAAATCAGTTTCTCAAGAAATATGTAAATAAACATAAATATATTCATTCTTTTTCACCCCTTTCACAAAAGCAGCATGCAGCATTAACTATTCTTTTGCTTTTTATTTATTTTTAATTTTTTTAATTTTTCTTTTTTGGGGGGGGGGAGTGGTGAGGAGCAGAGAGAGAGGGAGACACAGAATCCAAAGCAGGCTCCAGGCTCTGAACTGTCAGCACAGAGCCTGACATGGGGCTCAATCCTATGAACCATGAGATCATGACCTGAGCTGAAATCTGACACTTAACCGACTGAGCCACCCAGGTGCCCCGCTTTTTATTTTTGACTTAGCAATAAGATTTGGAGATATTTCCATATCAACACGTAGAAAATGTGCTCGTTCTTAAATTATGTAATATTCTATTATTGGCTTTGCCATAATTAATTTAACCAGTCTCCTCTAGGTAGACATTGAGGCTGTTTCTAATTCTTTGTTCCTGCAATACTATAATGAATAGGACTGGATCAATAAGTAAGTTTTAATTTACTGCATGTTTAAAGCAATGTGGTACCATTACTTTAAGCAGAAGTAACTTTCCTGTAAGACATTTCCAAATACAAACCCCTTGAGATCTGCTTTAATGAATAAATGAGACATATTTATAATAGGAAATATTATTTGCATGGGCAAATTAATGTTTCAAAATTCTCAATTTTATTTCATCCTCTTAAGTGAGTATTTTCCTACATGTTTATTTACACTTATATAATTAGGTTAATGGGCATTTTGCCCTGGAAAATCAGCCTTGAACAGAGCTAATCATCATGAATTTTAAATTAATACAATTTGGATTAGAGAAATATTTTTACTTCGTTTTCTAAACTGTTGTTTTAAACTCTGCACAGAGAGCTCTGAATCCCATATGTATTTGCCACATTGCCACCTTTAATTGGAATACTCAGAGCAATCATCTTTTTCTAAAATATTTGAAGTGCAGAGATTATTTTTAAAATCAGTTTATGTATTGGGGCGCCTGGGTGGCTCAGTTGGTTAAGCGTCCAACTTCGGCTCAGGTCATGATCTCGCAGTTTGTGAGTTTGAGCCCCGTGTCAGGCTCTGTGCTGACAGCTCAGAGAGCCTGTTTCAGATTCTGTGTCTCCCTCTCTCTCTCTGACCCTCCCCCATTCTTGCTGTGTCTCTCTCTGCCTCAAAAATAAATAAACGTGAAAAAAAATTTTTTAATCAGTCTGTGTACAAATGCATTCCTTTTATGATCTTTTTCTTAATAAATTCATCTCAAAGTCAGGCTAGATTTGAGGTGAATTTCAAATATTACAGCCACGATCAAATGTCACAATTTAGTATTTTCATTGTGAGCTAGATCCTTTTTCCTGTCTGTCTTAAGGTCAATTAGTAAACAACCCACTTGTGAAGCTGTAAGGTTATCAATTGGTATGAAGGGCAAATGCCTCCCTTCAAGGAAATGAAATGTGATTGAGAGGACAAAATATTCATAAAAAGAACAGCAACAGCAAGGTAATACCTAAAAGTTAAATAGCCCTTGTGTGCCAGGCATCATGTTGAGTACTTTAAAAATGTTAATCTATTAGAAATTCATAGGAACCCTCTAAGATAAGTGCAATTATTATCAATTATTATCATCCCATTTTACAGATGAAGGAATTGAGGTAGAGGATGATTAAATACTGTACCTAGCGTCACACAGCTGGTAAGTGGGAAAGGCAGGATTCAAACTCTAATTGTCTGACTGTGGAGGCCATGCATGTAACCAGCCCCCACACTGCCTCTTGCATGTGGTGGCCTTCAGACACGAAAGCAAAAGGAAGCCAGAGGATGCAAAGATCATAGTGGTCACGAAGAGTTTCAGAAGGAAAACTCTGATGAGCAGAGAGGAGTGGATTCCAAAGCTCACAAAGCTCCCTACCTCTACTGGGAGCGCTCAGGAGGACAGCCTTTCATTGTGGTTTCTATGGCTTTTCCCACAATAAATATCCTAAGAATAAGAAAGCATTGCAGGAACAGAGGTATTAGGCAAGAATGGCCATGGTGTTTAAGGGTGGTCACTGAGCAGACCTATTTAAATAATGTGATGCTATCATATAGAGAAGTAGCAAGGGTAGGTGGGTTAGGACCAGATCACACACACTGTATGTCCCAGGCTAAGAATTAAGGCTGTATTCTCTCCAGCAGCGCCTCTCACACTGTAATGTTCAATGAAATCACCTGGGATCTTCTTGTTAAATGCACATTCTGATCCAGCAGGTCTGAGGTGGGCCCAAGAGCCCTCATTTGTAATAAGCTTGAAAGATGCTGATGTTACTGGTCCCAGAACCACACTTTGAGTAGCAAGACGGTAGGCTCCAGCAGGAAATTGCCATTGGAGCAGGGGATGTAGATGGGGGGAGGGGGGTCGGAGTGGAATGATAGACAGTTACCTGTGGCACCTCCTCTAAGTTGTGGCCAGCAATTTTAAAGACTTATAGACCTACGGTGTTTTATTTGGTCTGATTTCTAGAACTTTTCTCTATATGCCCCACCCCTCCTCTCAGATGCCACGATGTCTTGCCTTAAGTGTTTTCAACTACACTTTTCCTTTCTTTCTGTACAGAGCAAGGCTAAAGAGCTGCCACTCTCTGCTGTACGTTTTATGGAAGAATTGGGGGAATGTGCCTTTGGAAAGATCTATAAGGGCCATCTCTATCTCCCAGGCATGGACCATGCTCAATTGGTTGCTATAAAGACCTTGAAAGACTATAACAACCCCCAGCAATGGACAGAATTTCAACAGGAAGCCTCCCTGATGGCCGAACTACACCACCCCAATATCGTCTGCCTTCTGGGTGCTGTCACTCAGGAACAGCCTGTGTGTATGCTTTTTGAGTATATGAATCAGGGGGATCTCCATGAGTTCCTTATCATGCGCTCCCCACATTCTGATGTTGGCTGTAGCAGTGACGAAGACGGGACCGTAAAATCCAGCCTGGATCACGGAGATTTTCTGCACATAGCAATTCAGATCGCAGCCGGCATGGAGTACCTGTCTAGTCACTTCTTTGTCCATAAGGACCTTGCAGCTCGCAATATTTTAATCGGAGAGCAACTTCATGTAAAGATTTCAGACCTTGGGCTTTCCAGAGAAATCTACTCTGCCGATTACTACAGGGTGCAGAGTAAGTCTTTGCTGCCCATTCGCTGGATGCCCCCTGAAGCCATCATGTATGGCAAATTCTCTTCTGATTCAGATATCTGGTCCTTCGGGGTTGTCTTGTGGGAGATCTTCAGTTTTGGACTGCAACCGTATTATGGATTTAGTAACCAGGAAGTGATCGAAATGGTAAGGAAACGACAGCTGTTACCATGCTCCGAAGATTGCCCACCCAGAATGTACAGCCTCATGACAGAGTGCTGGAATGAGATTCCTTCCAGGAGACCAAGATTTAAAGATATCCATGTCCGGCTTCGGTCCTGGGAGGGACTCTCAAGTCACACCAGCTCCACTACTCCTTCAGGGGGAAATGCTACCACACAGACAACCTCCCTTAGCGCCAGCCCAGTGAGTAATCTCAGTAACCCCAGATATCCCAATTATATGTTCCCGAGCCAGGGTATTACACCACAGGGCCAGATTGCTGGTTTCATTGGCCCACCAATACCTCAGAACCAGCGATTTATCCCCATCAATGGATACCCAATACCTCCTGGCTATGCGGCATTTCCAGCTACCCACTACCAACCGACAGGCCCTCCCAGAGTGATTCAGCATTGCCCGCCTCCCAAGAGTCGGTCCCCGAGCAGTGCCAGTGGGTCGACTAGCACTGGTCATGTGACCAGCTTGCCCTCTTCAGGATCTAATCAGGAAGCAAACATTCCCTTACTACCACACATGTCGATTCCAAATCATCCCAGTGGAATGGGTATCACCGTTTTTGGCAACAAGTCTCAAAAACCCTACAAAATAGACTCAAAGCAACCGTCTTTGCTAGGAGACTCCAATATTCACGGACACACCGAATCTATGATTTCTGCAGAACTGTAAAATGCATGACTTTTGTAAATGTGGTATACAGGAAAAACTAGAAAGCCGTAGAAAAGATTTAAATTCAAATGTTTTTATTAAAGTAAGGTTCTCACTTAGCAGACATTGCAACAAGTATCTTCTGTGAAGTTTAACTGTGTCTTACCAAGCAGGGCAGACAACCAGCCAGAAAAAGAAAACATTGTGGGATTAACACTCCATCAGGGGTACACGACATGGCATTGGGATTGGTACGTCTGGTTTCACGTACTAAAAACTGCAAACCAGTGAAGAAGAAAAGAATCTCATGATTAAATGTCAAACCAAAAAGGAAAGTCAAATGGTGCTTTGTGTATTTGCCTCCGTTCGCCATGACTGGTCTCTCCCCAAAATGTATATACCGTAGCATTTGTCTACCTGCTGTCTTATCTTCAGGACAAATGTTCAGGAATTGTGTTGATTCAATTTAGACTCTATGCATTCTTGTATGAAAATGATCAGGATCAATGAGGAAACTGTAGGCAAAATTTGAAATCCCAGATGGAAACGAGCCATAAGACAAGTGTAAGATCCCCTGAGGCCATCTACACAGTGGGGCTTCTTTGGGAAGGTACAGAATGTGCCTCTTTGTGAATCTCCTCTGCTGATCACGAAGGCCTTCTCCACATTATCGTTTTCCACAGTGTGTTTACACGAGCCCTTGAAATAATATAGGGCATCAGACCATAAGAAGGCTAGACGTGGATGTTGGAATTGATTGTTGGTTGATAGTTCACTCCATTGCATTAGAAATGAGGAACCAAAGGAAGCACAGTCAGGAAAATGGTCCCTCGGCCTAGATCAGCACCCCTGGGAGAGGAACAAGGTTTCCCATGGGCAGCCTCACGGGAGCTTCCCTGGAACAATAGGATTGAAGAATAGAGGTATGGCTGCAGACCAGCACATTAGTGCTTACAACCTCCTGAATATGAATCTTCCTAGGTGTAGGGGGCCCACCATCAATGGACTCTGGGGAAGTAGGAAACTCTATGACACCAATACCTAGTTAAAGTTTCTCTCACCTTTATTTTTTTTCTGATCTGGAAATGTTCATAGATTTTATTCCAGCACCAGGAGTTACGACCATTTATTCATAGCATTAGTTGGAATCCAAAGACTATGAATTCTATTTTGTAAAACATTACAGTATTTTTTTTAAACACAGGTACTGAATTCTCATGTCAAAGATAACCATGAATTGAAATTTTGAAGCTGGTGAATAGAAGAAACATAATCATTTTTGCCTTAGGAGGGAGGCATCAAATGTGCATTTCATGCCACTTACCTACTAGCCATCTTTTGCCAAGTTTAGAATTCTTATGGGTTTCAAGTTCTATATAGAAAGGAATGTTATGTTAGATTTTTCTCTTGTTAAAAAATAACTCCTTTATTCTAAGAACAATGTCTCAAGGTCTCATTTTTTTAATCATTACTATTTTACAACTAAAGAGACTTACAAAGAGACTTTACAGGATATAAAATAATTCCTGGAAATGATATCTGATGAGGAGAATGTAAAGCACATTGATGTTTCAATTTTGTAAAAAGAAAAAAAATGCAATTAGGATGAGAAATCAAGGAAATCTGTTTACCAAATGTGTTGCAATTTTCCCAAACACTGAATCTTCAAACAATGAACATGGACTTATCGGTACTGTGAACTCAAAGAATTGGCTATATCCAGTTTTGTTGAAAGATAAATTAAGAAATATTTTTGTGGCATAAGTAAGCTGGTTCAAGAGCTACATTTCTTAACTTTAGGTAGAGGAGAAATTTGGATCCTTTTGTTGCTATGCAACTGTTTAATGATGAAGATTCAAACCACAATTTTGTATATCATACGACAATCAATTGTTTTCCAAGGATATTTATTATTTTAAGTAAACATGATTTCAGTGAATCTGAGTTTTTCTAGGAGTCCCTTAAAGGGAAATTAGCATTCCGTGAGCCAGTAAAATACGTACTCTGGAAAAACATTACTATGGTAAAAAGTAAATTCAAGTTAGTTTTTTATAAAGAACTATAACATTTATTTTAAACATTTTATACTTACTGAAGTCATTAAGGTGAGCAAACCAAATTTCAAAACCACTTGTAATGTATTTTGTGATAGCACTGTGATACTACATAACACAGTCCCTTTTGTATTAAAATGGTATTTTTTTCACAAACTGAAAAATGTCCTTCGCTTTGTTGACAATGTTTTGTAAGATGACTTTATTTTCAGATTTTTTTCTTTTTTTTTCTTATTTTTTTTTTTTTTTTTTTTTTTTTTTTTTTTTTGCACAAAACTATGTTTATGGTTTGTATCACAGAAGTGAAAATATATCTCTGCATTTTTATATCCGGTCTGTTTCTTTGTTTCCTTTGTTTGTTTCTTTTTAACTCGATATAGATTTCCTTCAAATATATCATGGCAATATTCAGATATCTTGCCCTCCCATATCTTTTCTTATTTTCACTGCATGCATTTAATCACTGTATTACTTAATGTTTGATCTGTTATTATGGGCATTTCAAGTAGACAAGCATGGATGTAATGACAAAAAGGCTATTTTATATTGAGGATATGTGCATTTGTATTTCACACACCAGCGATGATATTAAACACTGATTACTTTATGCTGCTGTTTATTAAAAATGTTTACCATATAATATTATTTCCTGAATATTGCTATCCTGGAGGTATTTGGGGATTTTAATATTATTTCTCTAATTATTGACATTTCATAGAAAAAGGAATCATAATTCTTATTTACTATAATTCCTATTTCATTGAAATGATTTTTTTTTTAAGTAGGCTTTTAAAATAGATTTGGGCATTCTTTTGCCACTGACCACAGGTGGAAGGGAAAAGATCCCAATGATTTCATGACCATATACTATCCAACTATATATGGCAAGCTTTTAGTTTTTAAAATCAAAATAATATATTGAATAATTACCTTACAACCAAATGGAATGTAAAAATTGGTTTTCAAAGTTGCATCCTTTTCCGCCTTGTTTCCGTGTGAACTTAGACATCAAAAATCATGTCTTCAAACTCTGAAGAAGAAAAAGCTGTGTACATCTTATCATGTTCAACTTAGATTCCAATCATACTGATAAAATAAAAAGAAATGTGGCCATTTAATTGTCACAGCTTATCTTTATGACCTTCTTTGCCCAAAAGAAAGAGTTCCCCATCTGGCAATTAATACACACTGTCAAAGAAAATGAGTATCATTATGAAAGTTCAAAGAACTTGTCCATTCTGCTCTTTAATACAGAAGGGAATGCAATAAAACCTTCAGGGCCTTATCCATCTGTTTTAGGTACAGTTCTCGTCACCACCTCAGCGATCAAACTCAATAAAGCAGTCACCTCTCATGGCAGTGAGATGGATGTCAGGTTGGGTTTCTCCCTCTCATGTGAATTCTTCAGTCTGCCCTTCACTCCTATTTCCTTCTGTCTCTCCAGGCTCTTCCCCTCCCACCATCCCCAATCCCTTCAGCTCTGTGATTTGGGCCTTACCCTAATCACCAACATCTGCAAATTTGCAACACCACCTCAGATAATGCCTACTACAAACCACTAACTACTGATTAAAGGGAGCTCTATTATCTACCTATCCCAGTGGTTCAAAGATGATTACCTATCCCAGTGGTTCACAGAGTGTGGTCCTCAGACTAGCAGACCTTGGAACTTGTCAGAAATGCAAATTCTCAGGCCCCTCTTTGAAGCCCTGAATCCAAAATTCTGGGGATGGAACCCAGCAGTTTGTGTTTTAACAAGCTCTCCTATGATCTAAACATTGAGGTGGCGAGTGGCGGGGTGGTGGGGGGGGGTGTGTGGTCATTACATCCTTAGAAATGTATGTGTAAGCATTTAATAACACATTTGCCACTTTGGTTCCCCTTAAAGAAAATCAAGTTTTAGTGAAAAATTAAGCAGTAAAATCCTTTTGCTTTAACCATTTGACAATTGGTTTTATGCTTTGTAGCTGTTGTCTTGGATAGAGAACTAATAGCCCCAGCCTTTGACAAGACTACCTTGTCTAGCTCCCTCGAGACCCCTATTCCTGGGTAGTAATCAAAAACTTTTTCCTTCATGTGGACAAGCTCAAAAGACTTGGTCTCTTAGTGTACTTTCTCTGACTCCTTGCAGCGATGATTAACACAACTAAAAGCGCTCTCCTCTGTGTTGCAACTTCACACAGTCCGGGTCAGGGATAGGCTGCTCTTTCTTGGGAGGAAGAAAGATCTGGCTCCTAGAAAGCATCAGGCAGAAGCAGCTGCAGAGGCTCCCCTCTCCCCTGAACTTCCTGTGACAACTTGACCCACTTGGCTGGATGCAGTCACCTGTGGCGCATTCCACTGTGTTCTTTTGCCAGTTGCAGCCCATCGGACCTTGCTGGCTGGCTGTGTTTCTGTGCTCCCCACAGCCTGTAGAGACTGAAAGCTCTGAAGGAGGACAATAAGGAGCCACGGGAGGTGCTAGGGGTGAAGCTCATACTCTTAATTTATATAGCATTTTTTTAGGGCAATAGTTTAAAAGCTAAGGAGAAAATGCTAGTTTAGAAGAAAAGGAACAAGGGATCACATGCCTAAGAGGAACTTGTTTGCAGCCAAAATACGACTGCACCTGAAGTTTGTTACCATAAATGCCAAGAGTACTAAGGAGTCTGTTAACTCGGAGGAAGGAGAGACAAACCATCAGAGTTCTCAAGGTCATTGTAATCCCCTAGGAAATTAGGCGGGGAAGATTTAAAAAAATGGAGACATACAGGGAGAAAGTCTGCTGACATATTTATGACTAGCTGAATCATATGCGCCTATGAAATGCATATTCACAAACGAGTACTATAACATTTGCTGACAAGGCCTGACACGGTGCATAGTCTCACCAAAGTGACCAGGTTAGTAAATATTCTTATCTGGGAATGGTAAAGTTGGGAGAAAGGCCCCTCTTTAAGATTAGATAGGACATCCCTTACACTTTGAAAAAGGCCAGTATCCTGACATGCTGAATAAAGATAATTCAGGGAATGTTCCACTTGAAGGAGAGTGGTTCTCAATATCAGTCTTTGTTGGACATGTGCTCTTGACCAAAATCCACATCCCATGCAAAACAACAGAACTTGCTGCCCACGATCATAAATTAGTGCTAAAGCTCTCCCTGACCTTAGAGGCATGTGAATTTTGCAGCAGAAATAGGGAGAGGTCAGGCTTCATCCTACACCAAGTGGTCCTTGACCAATGCAATCCTTGGACAGAGAAACGGTCATTTCATCTGTCATCCGGGCCTATTCTAATACAATTCCCTGAAAGGTTTCTTTTGAGTCTACACCCATTAAGATCACTTACTTGAAGGAGACTGAAACACCCCAATTGCGTGATCTAGATGTTAACTAAGAATCAACCTAGGAAGACTAAAACTAATAATCAGGCAAAATGACAGTACTTATTTGTACTTCCCAAATTCACTCTGGAAACAGAGTGTATTCATTGTATTGGTCAGCTTGGCTGCAGTCATACCTCCAAAATCTCAGGGACTTGCATTATGTTTACTTCTCATTTCCATCAGTCAGCAGAGGTAGGTCTGGGGCTGCGGCCTTGCTCCCAGGTCGTGGAAGGACCAGCTGTTCTTATGGCCTGGGGAAAAAAAAAAAAAAGAGCAAGGGGCAGAACTGAAATATGGGCACTTGAAAACGTTCTGCTTGGACGTTCTGTATGCCACATCCTTTTCTCATATTCTCTGGGTCAACACAAACTCTGCAGATGAACCCAACTGTAGGACATGGATGTATCTCACCCTGCTGAGAGGCAGTGCAGCCATACCCTCACAGTCACAGGTAGGGATATAGAATCTCCTTGCAGGGAAGGGGGCAAGTAGTTGGGAACAAGAACACAATCTCCACTCAGCTGAAGCCCTGGGTGGATGAAAGAGCAAACCCACAGCACCAGCACCCTTCTCTCCTCTTGCATTCATGCCAAATGTCACTAATAGATGCTTTTCCAGCAGACTCAGAGTTAGCCTTAAAATTTTCAACATACTGCCCTGGATAACCTACTAATCAATCAGAAATGGCAACAGAGATGAAACTTACTAGCCATCTCTGCATTAGAGCAATAGTTGTCAAAGCAGCTTATCAAAATTAGGGAGATTCTGAAAATTATAACCTCAGAACCATCCAAGAATGTACCAGAAAAGCTACCTTAAAATCTCTTATAGGGGCACCTGGGTGGCTTAGTTGGTTAAGTGTCTGACTTTGGCTCAGGTCATGATCCCATAGTTTGTGGGTTTGAGCCCCACATCAGGCTCTGTGCTGACAGCTCAGAGCCTGGAGCCTGCTTCAGATTCTGTGTCTCCCTCCCTCTCTCTGCCCCTCCCCCACTCGTTCTCTCTCTCTCTCTCTCTCTCTCTCTGTTTCTCTCTTTCTCTCTCTCTCAAAAAAAAATAATAAACAATGAAAAAATCTCCTATAAATTCCTCAGATACAGCATAAAACACTATCCTTAGCCCTCCTTCATGGGACCCGAATAAAGAGACTGGGAGAATACAGCGCATACTTTTTAAGTGTTCCTGCAAATGATCTGGATAACCTTGAGTAAGTAAGGGAATGTCAATTTCCTTATCAGTAAAATATTGTAAATGTAGCATAGAGGTTAGGAGTAAAGGTTCTGATGTCATACTGCCTGAGCTTAAATCTCTCTTTCACCCCTTGGTAACCATGCAAATTGAGACAAGTTTCTGAACTGATATTTATTCATCTGTGAAAGTATCTGCTTCCTAGGATTGAAGCTAATTAACCTAAATGAGCTAATTTATGTAAGCTGCAGAGAAGTGCACCTGACACAAAGTTATCAAAAAATAAAGTCTAGATAATTTTATAATTTTTCTAGGGTATCTGTCTTTCAGACTTGCTACAAGCATTTAATGAGAATGTATTTAAATACTTTAAGAATTGTCTGGCACATAGTAGATGCCCAGAAAGTGGTAACGTTGCTATTATTCAATGTGTTTTAAACAACTTTTATAAAGAGATACATTATTTTCTAATGTGGTAAGATATTTAGAGCTCAAAGTATTCCACCTAATTATTCATGCACATGCTATAATGTAGAACACCCAGGATTAGTGCCAATGAGGTGGGGGTGGGCTTAGCCCTTCAATAATTTCCATCGTTTCCCCTCAAACCGGCCCTAATAAACATACACTAAGTAAAAACAGCTTCGAGACCTATCCCTAGACCATCCCTAGACCATATGTCATCCCTCATACCCCCAAGCTGATTGCCACCTCAAAGCTTCTCCCGTGTTGAAATTCTGGAATCATCCCCGGGGCCAACTAAGAGCACCATGAAGAGGTATATTAAACCAATATATGTGAAGGAAGCCCAGAATAATTACATCTTTTAAGCAGTTCCCTACCCCTATACACACACACACACACACACACACACACACAGTCACAGTTGTATTAGATAATATTATATGTGGTATCTCTCAACAATTGGTGTTCTCATGTGGAGAATGAAATAAAGGGAGACCCGATCCTCCTGAAACATTTGAGCATATGTAAAGTGCTGCATTCCTTCATTATAGACCCAAATCCCCTCCTAATGGAATTCTGGACACTATGTTTTAGAACTTGGATTATGGGGTTTGGGCACCAGCCTGCCAGGGAAAACAAGTTGGGCTCCTTTAAACACCAAGTTCCAAAACAAGTAAACAGCTGTTATCAAGTTGTCGACGTAATTCCCACCCTGAAAATGTCCTGGATGCCCTGGGTAGGGTGACCTAGCTGTGCCAGTTTGCCAGGAATTATCCCTGTTTTAGCACTGAAAGTCCTTTTTCCCAAGAGAACCCCTATGCCCAGGCAAACCTGGCCTTTTGGTCATCCTTTCTGAAGCAAAGAATATAAAATCAAAGCCAGCATGTATTGGTTCTGAGCTCCTCTCTGTTAGGTAGACACAAATTCAGATATGAATAGTGATCAAGGGGCCCCTGCATCTTGGGTACCTTATGGGGAGAGAGACTAAATTATTCTATAATTAACGCAGTTCTGAAATTTGAAAGGGCCTGCAACTTCCAACTTTACAAAGGGGAATGAAGCATTTCTTTGAGCTTAGACGTTTATAAGCTAAAATAA